TAGCTTTGAAAATAAAAAAAAATAACATATAGCAATAAAATAAAATAAAATTTACATTGACTGTAATATTGTTTTGTTTAATAAAATGTAAATGTACTGTAATTGTTTAATAAAATTTACTGTAAATATAAAATAGATAGAAAACCACAAATTTCTTCTAATACCTAATATTTGTGAAAAGAAAATGAGTGAATCTGCAAATACTTGCGTTTACTATATAGCTGCAAAGAATGGCAGTTCTAAATTACTACATATTTTGAAACATAAGTAAACCATTTCAAAATTAAAAATTCAATTCTATGTATAAAGTGTATCTAGTAAGTGGGAACAGCCTATATCACTGTTCCTGGTGAAGTTACAAAAAAGTTTAATTGTACTTTTCAACTGTACCAATGCATTTATGAAAAACTATTTTCATCAGGAATAGTGTTATAGCTTGTCTAAGTTGTTAGATGCACTTTGTACAAGTGAGTAACAAAAATATTTAAGTAATAGGATATATTTGAGTAAATTGATCTATATTTTAATTAATTTATATATTGAGGATAATTAATCTCAATAATATTAAGGAATAATTTGATAGAAAGAACGATTGATATACATAAACATCTCATAAAACATTAAATTTCATCAAGACAATACTTCAAAATACAAAATTTGCATTCTCCAGAAATTTGTATACTGCATTGTCTCTCATATCTTTCTTTACAATTACCTGAGACGATTCAAGATAAGATGAATTTAGAATATAAAATTTGAATTACTTTAATACAAAGGAAAAGCAATTGATAAAACAAATAAGCTCTACCACACTATAAGTTTTACACGTGTCCCAAATAAAAAGTAAGATGCTACTAATAAAAATATCATATTTTGTTCCAGTAGAATACATATTTTTGTAAAGAGAAAGTTACATATCACTTCACTTATCACTTATAAAAATGTATTCGATTAACTATAGTAAATAATTCATAAGGGAAAAATAAATTTATTTCTTTCACACAAAATATGCATAGAATAATAAAAAAATAGATCGATTTATTCAAACGTACCTTAAGGACCCAAATATTTTTATTATCATTACGCATTAGTAAATTATTTTTCTTTTCTGAAAATGAAACAGTAGTAGCATACAATCAGTGTTAAAAAGCCATGCATGTTATGCAGAAGCTATATACTTGACCTTTTCCAGTTGTCGTTCACGTGTGTATCAACCAAACGGTAGGTTTTAGGTGTTGCAATTATTTATGTGCTGGATGCATAGTTAGTGGTTAGCGCTCATGCGTGTACAGTGGTTTCATTAATATGCCAATGATTCCAGATTGAAGGTATCTGAAACGTAGGGAGTCGAACGAGGACTTTCGAATATTCTTCTCTGTGGCCGTACAGGATGCACGATAAGATATAATCTGCATGGGATGAAATCCTCAATCCTAATCACGTTTGCAACTATTTTCAACTGGAATCTTCTGCATACTGGTTATTTTTATGGTCGAGGTGCGCTAACCTGCGTCCCATCTTCATTCTCACCCTCGAGTTCGAGCTTTTGTCTCTTTGTACGCTCGTTTTCGCTTTCGTCGCCATTCTCACGCGGTCTCGATACGGACAGACTAAAGTATTTGAAACAAAAGTGTCAAACAGTAATTTGATACAATTACATGTAACATGTTCTCGTTGAAACTTTATTCTATAGTATGCATATAATCGAATGGAATAAACTGAAATTTTTCATACAATTGAAAATGTCACAGGATATCTTCTGCTTTCAGGTCTTAAAGTAAGTAAATTAACTTAAGAATTCTTTTTATTGTAAAACTAATGAACTGTAAATATTCAATGCTTCTGAATATGATAATTAACATATGAATATAATTTGAATTTATTTTTTGAGTTAATGATATTATTTGTAATTTAGTTTTTATAGTGAATTAATTTATTGAAATTTTATGTTTACACTAAAAAGAGTAAGAAAAATTTATTTTAAAACTCAGTTAATTTAACAAAATAAAAAAATTGGAAAGATAAAATATAATTATTATACTATACAAAATACTACAAACAGTTAGACAAATAGGCATTTGAATAAATGACGACTCAAATAAGAATTTTATAATAAATATGTAATGTTTGTACTATTGTCTTAATTGATATTTAGTAATAATTTCTTTAACAGCTAGACAATTTTTATATTTGTTACTTTGTTCAGAATTTAACAACTTGTTATTTGGCTCCTTTACTATAACAAAATGACTATTATGGGAATTCTAAAAATAAAAATAAATTTTTAAATTATACTACATTCGAAATAAACAACTTATGATTTTATAGAATGTTTCAGGCAGCCTAAAATAAAAATGATGATCGTTTGACCCGAAAGAAAGAAAAGGCTTCTTAATATTATATTTATATTTTTTGTTGCACTTTTAAATTTACTTTTCATATCACTGTTTGATCTAATAACGAATCGAAGTTATCGTGAACATGTTAATAAACGTGTAAAGCATGTAAGAGGGAATGATTGAACTGATTTTCCAGTAAAGGTACTTACTAATGATTTTTTGAATAATGATACCCAGAATCTCTGACAACCCGCCGGGCCAAAGGAAAAAGTTCGTCCCTTCTAGTAAGAAGGGCAGGTACGAACCTACAAATTTGTGCGGCGGCTTCGTTTACCGACACTTCGTGCAATGTCAGTGGTTTCTCTGGTTTCCTCTTGCAGTCGAATCTCCCATAAATCGCCGCGTATTTTCGGATTTCTTCCATTCGGCGTGGGTCGCTGTCAGGCATAGCCATTACCATCTAAAATAAAATAATTCATACAGATTGTTTTTTCTTTTCTATACCATTTCCATTCAGTTAAATTGATTACGTTGATTTACACTTATATTCGAACATATATTACGATAAAATCTTAATAATTCTTTAGGTTATGGAAAAAGTGTAAGTGATGATACAATTTAGTGTCGTGAGTAACTGAACATTTATAAAATTTGTTAGAATTTCTCATTGTTTAGAAATAGATATTCGAAGTAACTATAGTAATCTACTAACGAATTTTTATGTTTTCGTTACATTTCACTTGAAGGGATTTTTATCAGTTTTTAACCAGAGTTCTTCACTTTTCTAAATGATTAATACCGAAGGTGTTTTCCTGTGCTAATTCGGATGTGGAAAATATTGTGTAATTTACAGCTAATTATATTAATATATTTTGAAACTTTGTATTCATTTTGAAGTTTTGTTGATATGTATTAGTGTAATTACTTTGTATAAGAGTAAACTAAATTAATAAAATACCATTAGAAAATTCGTTTTTCGAAAAAATCAAATGTTTGATGTTTTATAGATTATAATATGTAAATACATACAATTTAGGGTTATCTATTTTTGTATTGAGAAATTAATTTCTTTTTTTTTAAAAGATTGCACGGGATTCGCACACACAATATCCTGTCAATTTTATTTCAATGAATGAAAAAGCTTATAAGATCAAATTTCTCATAATTGTAAAGTTAACCGATCATTTTTTCCATACATATAACAAAATTCTTAATTATTATAAATAATATTATAACATCTTAAGGTAAATATTTAATTTGAAGTATAATACTGTTCTCATCCTCAATATTACTAGGAAAAGTATTAGTGAATTTGTTAAAGTTTCCTTTGTAAAATGCATTTTCAAAAGAAGATGGAGCCGTATTAGAGATTTTATAAAATAAAAAAAACTAAAGAATAATAAGGTTGTTTACAATAAGGATTTGTTATTCGAAATGTCAAAAGAGACTCTTATCCGAAATGTAAAGAAAGTTTTGGGTTTCGAGAATTTGAAACTGCACCTTTATTTGTTTTCAAACTCTCGAAACTGAGACAAGAAAAGGTATCCACAAAATCAATGAATAAAGAATCGTTCGGAACGCGAACATAGAATGAGGAATTCAGTGGTACATTTAGCACTATAGCCGATTAAAAAAAGGAAATGAATTAAAACCATAAAGAATTCGAATATTAGTATTCTTAAACAATAATTAGATATTTGAACAAAATATTGTAAATTCAATAAATTAAATATTTTTGAATAGTATTACGTTTTCATTTGTACTTTGTTATGATCAACAAAGACTTACACCGAAGATGTTGACTTCAGTTCATAAAACAGGATATTCCTTTTACAAAACAAAATCGGTACTTTTTATCAAGTTCCGTGAGTTTCGAAACTTTACAAAGTTTTGGATTCGAGTTTCGAAAATTCAAAAATTAGCTTTCAATCTACTCCAGTTTATAGGTGACAAACGTCCAATGACAAACGAACATTTCAATAAATTGGGGAAAGATTCTTTCATCATAAATATTATTAGTATAAAAATTAGATTGGCAAAAAGTTTAGTTGTTTTTCGGTTACTCCGCTTGGCACGCTTATTCTTTTGTTGTTCGTCATATGATACAGATGATTTTGGTAGCAATCAAAAGCTAATATTATTGAATTTGAATTTTTTAATTGGAATTATTTTAGATTTTCAAAATTTGAAAAATAAACATTTATCATCAATGAGAATTTATTTCCGACACTCTATACTGTACGAGTTCCAACTTGGGTATAACGCCATGGAAGCTCATAAAAATGTATGCTCTGTTTTTGACCATCTAAAGTTGAAATGCGTACGGTACAAAGATGGATTTTTTTTTTATAGTCAAAGGATAGAGTTTTTTTTGCATCTGGCATAAATGACCTAGTTAATACATGGAGGAAGACTATAGAAAACAATAGACAATATATCATTAATTAATCTTTTTTTCTAAGATTGAAAATATATAAATAAGGAAAAACTTTCTTGCTAATCTGATATATATAAAAAGATAGTTAAATAAATCTCTGTGCAAGATTCAATATACCATTGAGAACAATTGAAAATATAGATATTTGACAATGTAAATGACATCGAGCTATCTCACCCGAAATTACCTTTCATATTATATATAAATACATACGCAAACAATGAATCGATCTACCTCTAGATTTTTGCAGATCTTCTTTTTAACGTTATGTGGCTTTGGATCGACTGGTCGAATGGTAGCGGCCAGTCTTTCCGCTGCCTCTGCTAATCTCTGTATTTGCGACTGAAGAAGTGTCGGAGTTGGTTGCGTAGGACTCGCAGGTGCACCACCGCCACCTCCGGGACTAGGGGTTGTGCCACTACCGCACGACGATTCGCAAGTTCCTACCTAATGAAAATGGTAATGTGTATATTACTCGACATTCATCTAGGAAATTATAAATATTTCCAAAGTCATTAACATGTGAAACGCGGAGCTCTTTTTGCTTAGCTTTTCATTTAGCCAACACGTAAATTAAAACATTGAGCATGTACGTAAGCAATAGATGTAATACAAAAAATCTTTCGTTGTCTATCATATTTTGATGAAATTCATTACGAAGGACGTTAACGAATTTTTTAATATCATATTAACATATTCGATCAACAAATTCGATACATGATGAAACGTTGACGTTTACATCGTTGATAAATATCTGTATTGAAGAGCCGGAATCGATATTATATCGGTTCTATGTCGGTTATATAACTGTCATTTTTTGGTTAGGTCATGCATTTCGGTTCTGTATCTCTTTCAACACCGAAAAATAACGGTTATAGAACCGATGTAACGATACAATATCGGTTCCGAAGAACCGGAACTCCATAACTGTTTCAAGAATCAGAACCGATACCATAACTGTTTTCAACTCTTAATAATTGGTCTCGAATGAGTTAAAGCGTTAAACAATAGAGATCCCTAAACTCGAAAATTCATGTTCGTTTATTCGGATTTTGGAACTTAGGTGTTTAAGAATAGATAATTGAGGTATATACAGTTGTAATTGCATTGATCAAAGTTGACGTAAACATTTACTGAATAGTGTTTATAAAATTCAATATGCGTCAAACTGACGCGTTCCGTAAACCTAGTGTTAAACCGCCGAAAATGCCTTCTATTTATGATTCCACTGGGTGTGCGATTCCATTACGTTCATTATGTTATTCATTATTTGCAATATACCTGTAGTATACCGGGACTATGCGCGGTTGCATAGGGCAGGGGTGTGTTGGGACTGGGACTCTGTCGAAAGGTGGTCGAAGCGACGGGTGCCGTCACGCTCGTCACTGACACTATGGGACTAGTACTCCTGCAGGGCAGTGGTGTGAGGGACACGTGTGACGAAACGTAGGGCGTTGGCGTTTGCGTCTGCGAAGTCGTTGCGAAACCTTGAAGATTTTGTACTTGCGGCCTGGGACTCGCGCAGGCGAATCCGATGGTCGATGGATTCTTGCAGGTAGCATTCGTCGGTACCACTGGCGTTTGGAAAAGGGCTGCGATAAAAACGAGTTAGTTCGCTTCGATAATCGATTACAGTCTCTGAACAAGATACAGAGAACCCGTAAAATTTGTTCGACGACGGTAGACAACTTCTTCAAATCAATTGTATCGGTTCAGGACCGAGATGAGCTGTTTTTAGTAGGGTAATTCCAGGGAAGACGGCCATGTTTACTGCGAGACGTGTTTAACAGTAGAGCTACTGTATCCGACAAAATGACGGGTTTTAGTTTTCTTATTTCGCAGTTATTGATATTTTAAAAGAATTAAATAAAAAAAGATTTAGAAAATAAATAGTTTTACACGAATACTGTAATGAATATCCGAAGAAATGGAGAAAGGTGTATTGTCACAATTTTTATAAAGATTACATATCAACCCTACTAAATCCTCGGAAGTTCTAGTGTTGAATGAAACTAAAAGAATTAGGACAAGTTTGATTTCTAAATGAACTGTAATCACCTTCTTACGAAATAATCATCAGGAATTAAAATTACAAATGAAACAGTATTAATTGTGATAATAATCGTGTCAATTGTTTGTATAAGATAACTGAAGTGGCCATTTTTCTCGTACAACAATCTTCCCGGAATTACCCTTTGATTTGCCATATGGAAAGGTTTCAAACTTTCCTAAGATTATAGGTAACGTGTCTAGCTTAATATCGTTCTTTATACTGTTAGTTTCATTGTATGTACTGTTTATTACGCTGTTTATCAAATCTGATAATATATTTTAGCCGGAAAGCCTTATTTAGGCAAAGAATACGGTCTCCTTACATTCACTAGATTATCTAAGAATGTCACTGACAACGAATCATGTAATTTTACGTGTATACTGTATCTTGTGTAAGAAATATAATGATAGAGATAATTGCATTAACCTGGTGTACAAGAAATTTATATTGGGAATAAAAAAGTCTTAACGTATGTTTATTATTAACCTTGTTAAGCCAAATAAAATGAAATGAAATAAATTTACCAATTTTATTAAAATATTTGCCGAATTTATGAATTTGTAGTAACTGTTAGTGCTCTTTGGTAAAATGTATTAATTAATTTAACCTATCACTTGACAAAGTTGTTGGAAAAGAAAATTTATAAAAAATGGTTATTCATGTTCAAAAATAAGAAAAAAAAATGTTTCTCATTTATTATTATCGAATATTCTTTTCAATAATTCTTACTGTCTGTACTAAACTGATAGATTAGGTATTATGTGTTATTTTACAAGGATTCGTCAGCCATTCTTGTAGAGCTTTCTGCAGTCTCCTGACGTGAAGAGGTTTGCTCGCCATACCGACTAAGGCCATAATTTCTAAGAATTCCTCTTCCCCGGCGTCGCACAATTGTTGTACATCGTCGCCACCTACAATATCACAAAAGCGTGTAAGCATTCATTCGCTGGTGATTGAAGTGGCAGCCATATTTAACCCTTTGTACTCGAAAGGCGACTAACAGTCGCCACTTGGCTCAGTATAACAAAATTATAAAATTTGATACTGAATAATAAAGTTCATATACTGTAATTATAAATGAAATATTGCAATAAAATAATTCTATCCCTTGTTATCTATAAAAAATACCATTAATATTTTATTAGGAAAATATATTCAACGAAGAAACTTTTGAGTGTAAAGGATTAATTCATTTAAATTAAAAGAAGAACAATTATGATGGTTCAGCAACTTCGTTTTGACCGACCTGATAATATATAACACATCCAATCGATTAACCCCTTTTTTCCTTATTGATTCATTGTTTCATGGTTCTTTTTATTCAGACTTTTATGGATTGCAGTAAATACAAACTTTTGAGCGGTTCGATATAGTGTACAGTTTCAACCCTAAATAGTTAGGCCTTAGAATTTTCAATATGAAAAATTTAAAGATCAATGTAAAAAGAACTACAAACTTTAGCAGTTAAATGTTAATCTGATTGCCGCTTTGATCGAATACTGCAGTTCTACTGTAAACTTATCTTAACACATTCGCATCGGGCAATTTTTCCTAAAATTTTCCTGTAAAACGAGATATTTTAATGTTATAAAAATATTTCAACATAGGCGTATTAAAACTGCGACAATTATTTTCATAATTAATATTAATATATAATATAATTTAGTACCTTAAAATATTCGCATTAGGAAACAAAAATTCTCGTTTTCCGACGCAAATGTGTTAATTATTAGTCTGACTGAGCAAGTACACCGCAGTGTATATCAGGTAACAGTTATAGCGGCGCAATGTGAGTTATGAAAGCGTGTAATTGAATATATAAAGTTGCATTGAAAAATTGTCACCTTTGTAGAAAGTTTCAAAGTCATCCAAAAATTAAATAAATAACATGATACGTAGCACCCAATAAATATAACTTTATTCTTAAATAAAATTTCTTTGTATTACTCATACTTTTCGAGAGAATCAGGTGTTTTCAATTAGCAGAAATATATTAATTAAATTACCCTGTATTCCGGGGGAGATGATCAGTTGAATTGTCTTGCATAAACAAGCGATAGAATTGCAATTACAATTGATACTTTTCCATTTGTAATTTCAATTCTTGTTGATTATTTTGTAAGGAAGTAATTAAAGTTTATATAGAAATCAAATCTGGCGTTCTAATTCTTTTAATCCTTATTGAAATGTGTTTCAATGAAAATATGGCCATCTCCCTCAAAATAATCCTATACATTTTAATTTTATTATTGCAGCCCCACCACCACAAATTCTCACGAGCCGTCACTGCTGGAATCTCACTTCAAACTTGTGCTCTGGGATGTCCACCTTCTGTGGTATTAAGCGGGATGAACAGGCTGTGTTGTAATACGCACGGAACGCACGTGCCTGATTGCTCCTTCTATGTAAGTACTTATTGCAATTCTTGTGGTTTTTCGCCTATTTGCTGTTGACAATATTTCTTCCTACCTGCTCTCGCGGATGATTTCTATGTTTCCCGCGCACGGAACTAAGTTGGAACCGGAAATTATGACGCTACTCCTTGATTTAAGGTAGAGTTCAGCAAAATGTAACCTTCGATGATCAAATTGACATATCATTGATGGTGATTCAAATATTATATAATAGTTGATTCGATTACAGATTATTGTTTGTAATCGACGATTGCTAATTGCTAATTTACAATTGTAATAGAGGTGATTATAGTGAATTCTAATTTATTAATGATGGTTCATATGTAATAGTTGATTCGATTACAAATTATTAATTTACAATTGAAATGGAGGTGATTAGGGTGAATCGTAATTCATTGATGATGATTCATATGTAATAGTTGGTTTAATTACAAATTATTAATCTACAACTGGAATAGAGATAATTACAGTGAATTGTAATTGATTCAAAGGCTACATTTCACTCGTTAATCTGAATATGTAATCAGATTAGATTTTGCCCAACTGTAATCTGATTGGGAGCAACCAAACTCCCGCGGGTATGTCGAAGGAGAGGGAATAAAAAACTCTTCTGCGTCTGATGGATGATCTCAAAAGGACCTTTTCCTTGCTCTACCATCAAGACCAAGGGTAGTGGCAAAAATTAGAATACTTCCTGTTATGCACAGATAAAGACATGTCCATGGTTGGGTTAATCCTTTAGTAGTATACTCATTTGAAAATATCGTTTTGCAGACTTCTAAATTACAATTAGATTGAAAAATACATATAAATAAAAAACGATCGTAACCTATATGAATATAGTTATCGTTTCTACTAAAATGAAACAAAAATATGTTTTTGAACAAAATGGCAGCCATATAAAGACGGAAAATTGTTTCGTTATGAAAATTTCATATTTTTTATTTGGTACTAAAAAAATTGTTGTAGACATTGGCAGTATTTTATTACGGATTATAAAGGGAGCTAAGTTATTGGGAACAGGGACATTCTTACCGATTTCAATAATTTCTGAATTCGTGACGTTACATTCGAGAGTATAAACTTTAGTAGATGACATTTTGATCTTCCTGATAAATTGTTTCATTAACCCTTTGCTTATGATTTATTTCTTAACTATGATCGGTACAACTACTTTATCATTAATAATCTATTTGGAAAAGGAACAAATTTTATCCTCATTCTATGTCTACGTTTATTACAAAGGTTAACGTATTAACTGCGTATTCTTGCATAATTATAATAATTATGAGCTGAACTCCCTTATCTTATCTGTCCATGCTTACAAATTAAATGTATCAACGCCTGTTCGGTGTCACATCGAGATTCAACTCATTTCAGTGTTACCGAAGTTTTATATTGTTAACGACATAATTTCCACAACCGAATAACAGTATTTGCCAATGTGGTATCAGAATTATTTGTAATCATCTAGTGTTAATAATACAATATTTGCATTAATTTAAGCAGTTAGAACTCGAAATTAATTCTAGTTTAATTTAAATTTAATGTAAACCTTAAGAATCCTAAGAAGGTTCATAAAACTTATAAAAATGAATTTCATGTAAAAGTAGGAGGTGTATTTATTATTAGGACTGGTTTTCAGGAGTGGAAGTGCAGAGACTTTTACTTTATACTATAATTGCAAAAACTCCTTGTAGTCTGATTCCGGTGGTTTCTTATGGGTATCACAAAAGCTAAGAGAGTGTGACATGTTTGTCTGACTTTTTCGACAGGTTTATCCATTGAGTATATTGAAATAAAAATATGTTTGTACTATGCGTTACAAGAGGAGTCTTACGTCATGTCTTATGTTTATTGTTTTAACTGGTTACGATTAATAATATAACAATGAATAATAAATCAGTATTCAAAGTGAGTTGAGAACACATAAAAACTGTTCTAACTAATTACTTAAAGGAATAGGATTTACTTTATATGTATATAAAACTTTAAAGACATCGATTTATTTATTACTTACTGAGATATAGTGACAGACATAAAATACAAAGTACTTTAATAAATAATGAGGATAATTGTATAAAAATTACAGCATTTCATCTTGAAACATTACTTAAGATGTATATAAAATTATAAAACTCTCAAAACTTAACAATTTTTTTATTTTGCAAATTGTTAATAACCCAGAAGTGTCTGACAGATACATTTTCATAATCATGTACAGAATCAAAAGTGTTCGTTTTATTAAAGCATCACTTTGTCTCAGTTAAATTTCTTTGTTTTATTTCTTAAATTATCTTATCAAAGTTTTTTTAACTTTAATTTTATTCTGCGTATCATTGAGTGCATGCAATTTTCGCAACGGATGTAATATGTTAATATTAATAACGAGTTATTTTGTTTCTGTCGATTTCTACATTACATAGAAATTTTCATACATAGAATTGTGTAGTAAAGAAATTGTTCGTTGTAGTTGCATTTTCCGCACCCTTGTATCTTACCCATTTCTAAAAGAGTGTCGTAGTAGCCCAAAAGGGACGCTCGTTGCATCACCCTGTACAACTGCAATTCTGCTTCGTTCTGAGGTACGGACGTCTGCACCACTAAAGCACACACAAAAGAAATTATTAACGAAGACATTGGCATTTCAGAACACGTTGAATAAATTAAATAAGCTAGACTCTCAAATGCTCATTTCGTAAAGTTTTTATTACGTGGACGAAACCACCAATTTTTGAATCGTCTGTACGATTTATACAATTATTTTATACAAATTCAAATTTTTAAGAACATAATTAAAAAAAATAGAATTACGACGGAAAATAGGTTTTTTTTTAACAAATACCATTAAAAGCATTACACTTTGGATGTTTTATATATTGATTCGAAACAAATAATATCTCTTTTCAAACTATTATAACGTGTATAAAAGACACTTCTTCGTTTTTACTTTTTGATTTAACCAGCGAATGGTTGGAAACTCTTCTTTTTATTTCTTACAAAGAAATCTTCAAAACTTTTACATCAATCCACCCTCGTATTGTGTGCAGTTTATGCACTTTCAAATTTCCCATACATACATAAAAATCCGTAGTCTAATTATGAGATAACTATGCTTATGATATTTACGTTTGGTTACAAGAAGTTAATTAAGGAGGTACTTCCATTTTGAACTTTGAATAAATCAATTTTTTTTTCTTGGATTTTAAAAAGCGGAAAGAAACCAAAAATCAGAACTTGAATTTTAAGTTACTGAATTTTTTCTTTTACAATGAAATACTTTAATTCTTTTGTTAGGGGCGATAATATTCATGAGGATAATATTCTGAAGAGAATCACATCTCATTTTTCCTGTTTCAGTTCACTACAACGGCCAAAATCATGACAATCATTATGACACGATTTTTTAAAATCTTTTTCTTTAACGATGCGTAACTCTTACAACTTTATATATTTCGACTTTAAAAAAGAATATAACTCAACTGCTGGATTAAATATAAAATGTAACTTAAAAAGAAAAAATTCTCAAAGTGAATCTACAAACTGTTACTAAAAATAAGAGTACATCCTTAAGTTAGTATCATCGTCTCGAAAATTTTTTGTTGTGGATACAGTAACGTAAAATTAATAAATTTTTATCTTTTCTTTGTATAAAGTGAGATCTTTCTTTTTTTTAAATCTAATCTAATAGCTTTTTCCACGAAAACCCATATTTATTTGGTCAGACATATCCTATAGCGATCCTAAAATAAATTACCTGAAAAAGAACGCTTGTGCGGATGAAAGATACACAAACTGACCAGCTCGCAGATTCCCCACTCTTTGTTTCGAAACAAATGGTGGTACAATAGCATGATAAACGATTAGTATTGAATAGGCACCTTATTAACTGGATCTGATTTATGTGACTGCCAGGCGAAGTATCCCTATTTTAATTTTTCTTCCGTAGGTCGAGTCTACACATTCTTTCTTCAATGGGCCAGCTTATTAGAGCAGATATTATATTACAGTAGAACCTCTATTATCCAAACTAATTGTAATGAAAATAGTTCTGATAATCGAACAGTAAAATAATTCATTTTTGACACTGCTTCTATAATCTCTTGTGACACGTAACTCCTAAGTTATGAAAATCTCTTCGAAAATGTTTAAAGAAGGTTTGAAATATTGTAATAAAACATAATGATTATCTATGTTTTATTTTTTTTATGAAATTTTCAAAATAATTAGAGAAACTCCCTCGCATAACGAAATCGTGTTGGCAGAATAAAATCACATTGCAAGTTCGAGAAAGAATGGAAGAATTAACACCCGTAAAGTTGTAGCTTCCAATACGCGTATACTAGTGAACTTCAATATTTACACGGGTATTTACACATACAGACATTACAATCCATGTATCAGTGTATTTCGGTACACGTGTACGTATGTATTTCAATACTCGTCTAAATATCCGTGTATTTCAATACTCGTGTAAACGCCTGTGTATTTCATTACTTGTGTGAATACTCGTGTAAATATCCGTATATTTCAATATTCGTTTAAACGCCTGTGTATCTCACTACTCGTGTGAATACACGTTTCAATACACGTATAGTTAAACGTATGTTTCATGATGTAAATACCCGTATATTTCAATACTCGTGTACTTACACACCCACGTATTTCAATACTCGTGTACTTACACACCCGCGTATTTCAATACTCGTGTAAATACCCGTGCATTTCAATACTTGTGTAAATACCCGTCTATTAAATAGTACACGGATCAAAACACTGACGCGTTAACCACACGTGTACACGTGAAACCGAGATCTCTAATTCAGAACATTATCGGCAGCGAACAGTCAGACTGTACACTTCGCTCGTTCGCTCGCTCGCTCGCTCGCGGTGATCAGCAAAGACGCGTGGAACGGCGGTCAGTATGCGGACAGACGGTCGAGCCGCCAGGGTGTCCGACTAGTTTCTTGCAAATTTCGAGGAACTGCGAGAAAAAGCGGCGTGCACACACGTACAACGTATAAATTAATACCGGTACCGGTGGCATGGCATCGGACGTTGCCAGTCCTGTGCTCTCTCAGTTGCGTCTCAAAGGAAGAGAGACACCGTGCGCGAGCAACGAAGAGGAAGGGATAGAAATTAAAACAAAGGGAAGGAGATAAAACGGAAGAGCAACGAGGAGAAAGAATGACTGGAAGATAGGAGTGGGAGGG